AACAAAGAGCAAAATACAGAGGTATGTACTAACCTAATAAAATTATCAAGCGAGCTATTAAAGTTTAATTTGTTTATTATTTTGTTTGAATAGAACAATATTTGTTTTTTTGTTAAACAGTATTGTGTATCAATTTTAATTACCAATAAAACTGTTTTAGTTACCGTCCTACGGGTCCACCAAAAAATTGATGTGTGCATGACAAAAAGGTAATTTATAAATTTAACGAACTTAAAGTGAAATAACGAAGTTCCATCAAAAATTTTATAGGAATGAAACAAAATCAACCCAAGACTGTTTTATTTTTAAGTATGTTGATGGAAGTCAACCTCATCGTAAACACAAGGACGTTAAAACGGTAACAACAGAATATTATATTTCTAATAAGAGATTAAAGCCGGATTTATAAACGGACATAAACATAATTTTAGTCTTTAACCATAAACTTATTATATAAGCATAATGTCGAAAGTTAATAAATAAATGTACCAATTTAAAAGCATTCATAATACATAAAACATAAATTTAGTCCTTAAAACATGACCTTCAAAGTTGGTAACTTTCAACATTTATGAATTAAGTATTAAACATTATGGAATTGTTGGAATATGCGCATGTGTAATCCAACGTAAAAAATTAAAGAACTGTTCCTCATCCCATTTCTTATCACGATTTCTATTTATGGGTCTTACACTAAACCTTCTTACTCTTCTTTGCTTGTTAAGAACTCTGGCAGATATAGTCGCTACAATTGTTAAATAAAGTGGGACTGCTGCCATGGCCAAAGCAACTTTTCTATTAATCTTCATATTTATTTAAAATTATTTCACTTTTCTATGAATCTAAAGACCAGAAAAAATTCTTCAAGATCTATAAAAATTTGGTTAGGTTTGTATTTTCTGAAGTAGTTTTTAAATATTATGGTTAGGTATTATGTCTAGTTATAAACCAATCTGAAATCTTGTGAATTATGTTTGTGGTTAAAGTTATGTTTATGACTTATAATTAGGTACTATGTCCTTTTATAAACCTGGCTTAAAACTGTATTGTGTATGTAGGAAAAAGTTTTTAATAACGTTAGGTATAACTAATCACCGTGTACAAGGAATCATTGCCTGTGTTAAGAACCATGAAAGGTTCCATTCGAATCAAGAGTAGGAAATAGGGGAGAACTATACATTTTGTTCAAAAATTACAAAGCGTTGAGAATTTTATTAAAACTTTTAGAGGCATAGAAAGCCACTACTGTCGAAATAAAACCGCGATTCGGATCTATTTACCAAGCTATTTGAATATTAAATATATGTGGCGCTAATATAAAAAACAATCTACCACAGACTTGAGGGTAAAAGAAAGCTATTTTCGTATGGTTTTTAATTGCAATTTCAATATTGGATTTGGAACTCCAGGATCTACCTGAATCGAATTAGTGGAAAAACATAAAAATAGAAAAGGACAAACAAAAAAAGAAAATCTAATGTGTTGCAAACGTGTCCATTCTTTGAAAGCAAAAGCTTTTTTTTCTGAATTAAAAGAAAAAGACCCAATGTTTATGACATTTTTTTTTGATTGCCAAAAAAATCAAACTCTACCTAGGGTCCCGGATCAATCGGCATACTATGCCAGGCAGCTATATCAGTACAATTTCACCATTGTGCAGGGCGATTCATAAACGTCATTAAACAAAGACAATGTGTTTATGTACACATGGAATGAAGTAGAGCATGGAAAAAGTACAAATGATATTGCCTCTGCCGTATTCCACAAACCACAGAACAATATTTTTAATGAAAGTATAACACGAATAAAACTAGTATCAGATGGGTATCTAGGGTAGAACAAAAATTCAACTGTACTTGGAATGTTAATGCTTTGGTTAAGTATACATGCTCCTAAACATGTGAGAGAAATCCAATTTATTTTTCCTGTATTTGGCCACAGCTTCTTGCCCCCGGATCGTATGTTCGCCAGGATAGAAAAAGCAGTGTGTTCAAAAGAAGTCATCGCCAATCCACAGGAATATATTAACCTTTTTGAAAGAGCACGGAACTCTAATAACTCTAGCCATTGTATACGACTGGAAGGAGTATTGCCATGAAATAGTCAAGCAGCCAGGGCAGTGGCACTTCAAATGTGCGCCTACAACGAGGTTTTTTATTAAAAAAAAAATAACAATGACAACATTTTGGTTCGTGGGGAAGTCGCGTATAAACATGATATGAGAAATTACAAAAGCATTTTAAAGAGAAGGAAGAATCTAGGGAAAATGCCGACGGAGACAATATAGCCAGAAATGGTAAACATCAACCCATTAAAGCTTAATGACGTACAAAAGTTGCTAAGAAAGCATTATGGTGAAGAATGGGCTAATTTTGAACAACTTTCCTATTATCGTAAGCTATTAGGGAATGATAACCAGTCTGAGCACGCTGTGCATAACGATGATGTGAGTTTTTGTACGCAAGAGATGGCAATGGATAATATTAACGAAAATTACAGCCACGTGTAAATTTTTCTTTTTTTATTTGTTTTTAAAAAGTGTGTTGTAAGTTTTAATTTTATTTTTTGTTCGATTCATTCTTTAATCAAAATATACTATAAGAGTAATTATGATTTTATTGATGTTTAAAAACATATGACCATAAATTTCAGGCACAATGAAATGGGCAATGACGTTTTATTACAATGTGTGATTTAGCTAGTTTGTTTCAAAACGGACATGTTCAGGGGAATGAGTTTCAAAAACGGCTAAGTTAATTTGTAAGATCCAAGACCGGCTATATTGAAAACATATTTAATTTTATTTAATAACTGAGCTAATTAATTCCAAAATAACAAGTTGCAATTTGATTCATTATCTGATAGATAGCCCATGGTTACGTATAAACTTCTTTTTCGGGAGGTGTAGCGTTTACGCTACTGATTAACCCCTCACGAAAATTTTTGTGTTCCGCCAGCGATCGATTTTTAAATGGACATTTTTCCCCACACGCGCAGTAGTCGCTTAAAAAAGAAGATTGGTCGAGTTTGTACGAGAACGATCAGTTTTGGTCAGAACTCAACGCAGCCACGTCAACCGGTGAAATTTTGTCACCTTCAAAGTGACGGAATTGGAGCCAGGAAAATAATTTGGGGAAGAATAAAATAGAAATATTAATAATAATAATTAATTTTTTAAAATCAATATTTTCTAATTTATAAGAGTTCCATATAAAAAGGAAAATAATAATAATTAATTTTTTAAAATCAATATTTTCTAATTTATAAGAGTTCCATATAAAAAGGAAGAGTTGTTTTTGGCGTGCTGCGGCTCCATATTCCGTCACTTCACTTGAGAGTATTCTCTTGAGAATATTCCCTCAAGGATACTAGTAACAAAATTTCTTGAATAGTTAACAACTCGGTTATGGAGTTACCGATTTCTCGGAGCAGATAGACCAGTGCCTGGTTTGACTACATTAGACTCACCTGGGTTTGTCCTTACAGCAACAAATTAATTTAGCCGTGCCAAGAGGAGTTTTTCCTATGGACTTATAGTGCTGTAAAGATAAGTTGTTTGACTGTGTAATTTTTTTTGTTACTGTCTATTTGTTAACTTTTCATATGCATATGATCAAGTGACTACATTTTGATAAAATATAATTTTGATATTATTGGGAGAGGGAAAATACCTTTCATGCTTTATGAGGTTTTTATTTTATAATAGGATATACAGAGTCTGACCGAACTCACTGGTTGATTTAATATATTTTTTTTAAATAGAATTCAGTTTTGATATAATATTTTTTTTTAATTATAATTGGAGAGGGAAATAAATTTTATGTGGTTTTTTTATCTGATATAATGAGTATGGAACAACTCACTTGTAATATAGTATGATTGTAATAGATTTATCAAGGTTGATACCTTTACAATATTATAATTAGTATCTCATTTTAGTTGAATTATTTAAACTTAAATTACTAACCTTTATTGTTAAGACCTTGGCTACCATACGGACTATTCTTGGTGTTACTAATATTTTAAACTTTATTTGGCCAGTGGTAGTGACTATTCGCTTGTGAGGGGCTATTAGGTCCTATTGTATCTTTACACTACCCACTACCACTGTTATTTAGCTTTCCATTATATGTAAATTGTTCATACATGTATATCTATATACACGTTTTATAAATATATTTATTGTTATTATTTTGAGTTTTATTTCAGTTCTACTAACCAGTATATAATATAGCAAGACAAGATTAATATTTAGTATTTTTGGATTTCAGGTTATTATCCCTAGTATCATTTGTTTCCGGTCCTTTGTTACTTCAATCTCAGCTATCGTTGAGTTGGCGCCCTTCTTTTTCTCTTAAATTTATTCCCATTGACCTTCTTTAGTTGTATCACATTTGATATTACCAGGTCTCATTTCGTTTCTTGTCTCATTAGCTCAGTATCCTTGCTATCTGTTTATATCCTTAAAGCCACAATCCAGTGAATTGAAGCTAGCCCGAACACTCACTTGAGATTTAGCGTCTCTTTGGCTATTTTTTTTCTTCCTCTGAGCTTAGCCATATTTTTAGTATTTCTTTCTATTTAGTATTTTAGTATATCATCACCTCTCTTCCAGTTCTTCTGGAATTTGGAAGTCTTACACTTCCTAAAATCCAATACTCCCGGAGTATTGAGGTTTCAGAGGCTTGATAAAAAAATCAGTTTTCTTCATTTTGTGAAAATTGCATTTTTTTCAAATGGCCGGTTTTTGAATTAGACGACTCAAATACATTAATATAGAAAAAATGTTTTAGTGTTTTTTTATATTTAGCTAATATTTATGTTATGCGTTACTTTATGGACGCAGTATATAATAATATCATAAATTTATACAAAAAAAAATGACCCATAAAAAATTTGGCATATTTTAGAAACTAAAGTCAGTTGAAATGCGCTAATACAGTCCTGGTCACTTTCACTGAAAATATTATGATATCAGCGCCGCATCCGTTCATTGATTCATTCCATAATACATTCTGTACTGCATTCAGTCTTGTTTATTAAATTGAGAGTTATCATTGTGTTTATAGTAGTTTTTATTTTTAAATACTAAATAATGGAATATGGTGTTCTAAATTTTTAATTATACTATGATTTTGGATCTTCAACTTTAATAGTAAATTTAATAAAACAGAGGTAAGTACTAATAATTTTTTCATCTATTCTAAAAATTGAGGTTATAAAAATAATACATTTATAATGTATATGATAATTACAATATAATGGCGGTGCCGGTTATAAATAACAGATAATTACTATTAAACTGGGAATAAGCCACAATTAAAGATAAAAATACGTTTATTGACGTTTCAATTTCCACTTCGGAAATCGTTCTCAAAATACAAACATAAATTAAACAAATTTTGTTTTTTGTTACATAGTAAAAAATTCTTCTAAAAATATAATTTTATCTGACTCATTTATATTGACAATTCAGACATACATTATGCATTTTAAAGTAGACGACTTTAAAATGATATTGCCAATATTGTTGAGTTGCGCTCCTGGGACGACTTTACTTATAAGATAGTTCATTCGATTACACGAAATCAGCTTTAACTTGAGAATATCCGTCAGAAAAAAATCATAGCATGTAATTCGTTTTTAAAAAGACAAACACATGACATGATGACAGTAAGATTCTCCTGTTAGTGATTCCATAGTAAATTATGAGGGAAAACCACATAATACTATCCCGACATTGTAAGTATTTGTTCGTGAATTTAGTTTACCTTCAACAAACATCATAATACTGATTTTATATGTTACGTTATTTAAAAAACATAAATGATGTATCCTCTATATGTTACTGACTTACTAATACTGGTATTTTCTTATTAATAACTTCCTCTTCCAATATTGGTAACCAGATTCTGCCGAGGAATTTGCGACACAATTGGCCTCATTTAGCATAATTTAGCCTCCATTATAGCCGATATGTTTAGTCTTGTTCTAGTTGCCAATTTGCCAATCTTTTTGGCAACTTAGAACAAGACAAAACATATCGGCTATAATGGAGTAATTAACAATATGTACTGATAATACATATTTTTAACTAAATAATGAATTCTATAAACAAAATTTTAGTCTAGCACTGGGCTCTAGTTTATCTCCATTCTTAGCCGATATATTTATGGAAGATTTTGAAACAAATATCATTTCTAAACAAAATTTTAAACCCACAGTATGGTGGAGGTATGTAGATGATGTTTCTCAATATGGCCTCATGGATCAGAGTTGTTGGACACATTCCTAAATGATATAAACGATAAAGAAGAGACAATAACATTTACCATGGAAAAGGAATATAATAACTTAGGATATGAAACTTAGGTGTATAGAAAACCAACACACACCAATAGATATTTAAATTTCAAATCAAATCACAATATTAATGTAAAAAAGGGAATAATTAAATCCTTATACGATAGAGCCAAAATTACTTGTTCTAATGAAAATTCAGAATGTAGTAGGATCTGGTTACCAATATTGAAAGAGGAAGTTATTAATAAGAAAATACCAGTATTAGTAAGTCAGTAACATATAGAGGATACATCATTTATGTTTTTTAAATAACGTAACATATAAAATCAGAATTTTGATGTTTGTTGAAGGTAAACTAAATTCACGAACAAATACTTGTCGGGATAGTATTATGAGGTTTTTTTCCTGGTTTTCCCTCATAATTTACTATGGAATCACTAACAGGAGAATTTTACTGTGTTTGTCTGTGTGTCATGTGTTTGTCTTTTTAAAGACGAATTACATGCTATGATTTTTTCTGAGGGATATTCTCAAGTTAAAGCTGATTTCATGTGATCGAATGAACTATCTTATAAGTAAAGTCGTCCCAGGAGCGCAACTCAACAATATTGGCAATATCATTTTAAAGTCGTCTACTTTAAAATGCATAATGTATGTCTGAATTGCCAATATAAATGACTCAGATAAAATTAAATTATTAGAAGAATTGTTCACTATGTAACAAAAAACAAAATATGTTTAATTTACTGTTTGTATTTTGAGAACGATTTCCGAAGTGGAAATTGAAACGTCAATAAACGTATTTTTATCTTTAATTGTGGCTTATTCCCAGTTTAATAGTAATTAATTTACAATGCCACAAGAAAATAGCTTCAGAACAATAAATAACAGTATTCAAATTAGTAAACTATGATAGCAAATTTTGTGTTTATATTTGTGTATTAGTCCAGGTAATATCTGTAAAAATGACAATTTAACTTCAAAAGGTGGGCTAAATTTTTTATTACACAATTTGTGAAATGATTTTCTTTTTTCGTTTGTATATCTAGACAGCTATACATTAAAAAATTGTAACAACAACAGTTTTACAATTAAATTTCCTATAAGACAAAATTGATTGAAAGTTAAAAAAATAATAATTAACCCTAGAACCACAAGGTGAAATTGTAAACTACCCTATTGGGTAGTTCGGTAGGCGTTTCTTTCGTGGCGTCGTTTTTCCATATGCTTAGACTAAACACGATGTCGGAAATGTATGTGTCCCATCTCTGGTCTTCGTTTGAGAACAATTTTGCTCTTGGGGCCTTTTTGAGCTCTTGGACATGCCTCTCCTCGGGGTTCACTTGTTGGTGGTATATCCCCAAAAGTCGATTCTGTACTGGGCTGCATTGTCGGTAATGATGGCCTTCGGACATCCCCATCGGTTGCACACCTTATCTTGTAGGAAGTTGATGATGTCCCTTGTCTTGGCACACGGTTTACATCGGAACTCCACCCAGCTACTGAGGCAGTCAGTAGCCAACAGCACGTATGAGTTGCGACTTCTACTGGCTTCAGGATATGGTTCCAGGATGTCGAATGACACTGTCTTCCATAGATTAGTAAAGTAATATATTTCTTTGATGGCCCTTGCTAGCCTTGGAAGAGTACTGCACCCATTTCTTTCTCCGACGCGTCGATTTGCAGATTGAACGGCAGGTTAAAGGCTAGGCGAATTAATTCCAGTTTTCTCTGGATGGCCTTCTTCACTGTTTGTGAAGTCCCGGAGCAATCTGGTGGTACTAATGAAGCCTCGGAGTTCTTTCATTGTTTTGGATGTCTGGAGGCCCTTTATCTTCTGCGTGTGGCGTTTTAGCAGTTCCGTTGACTCTGTCGTCACTTTGTGGCTCAGGTAGTCTATGTTGTCTTTGGCGAACCTGCACTTCTTCATGGATACCCACAACTCGTATGTATGAAGACGTTCCAGGACCAAATGGAGGTGTTTCTGGTGTTGTGTCCAGTCTTCGGAGTAGACAATGATGTCGTTCATGTACACCTTGTTAAAGTTGTCGATGTACCCGACTAAAATTGTGGTTTCTGATACGCTGTAGGTTTATTCTTAAGGCCGAATGGCATGACTGAGAATTCTTAAGCAGAGTCGTCAGGAAGGCTGAATGCTGTCAACGGCTTATATTCTTCGTGTAGAGGGATCTGCCAAAAGCTACTCTTCAGGAGAATATCTTGGCGCTTTAAATCCCTTTGATGCTGTCGTGTATTGGCGGCATACTGAAGACTTAGTCTACAGTATTGTTGTTATATTTACAGTACTCAACACAGAACGGTGGGGTGGCATTCTTCTTCTTCACAATCACTACAGGGCTATTGTATGGTGATTTACTTGGTCGGATGACACCAGAGGATAGCATCTCTGGAACCTCTTGGTACATTATTTATAGCTCTTTCAGATTACCGGTTTATCGGAGTTGTATTTCGGTGACCTTGGTTGTCGGTTAGTGCAGCTTGTCATCGAAGATGTCATTGTACTGTTCCACCAGGTTGCCTGTGGTTCAAATCCAAATGGTGGGGTTTGGTCTAGTGCTACTTGGACTTTTTGATGTTTTTTTTCGGGTGTGAGTTTGCCAGTAGATCGATTGTCGGCTAGAAGTTCCCACATGCAGATATCTTCTGGGTATATCTAGCAGAACTTTTTTTTGTTTCAACCATGTCGTCCTCGTTGTTGATGTTGCCTTCGGTTGTTCGTAGACTTCAGAACTACTGATCTGTGTGCACCAACTGCACCGTGGTCCGTGGGCTCTCCGTTGATGGTTTAAGGGTGTACGAGTTCTACACTGATAAAATTTACACATTATCTATGAGATCTTGTACTTTCTGTTACCAATCCTTCCTTTCAGTTGTGGTTGGTTCGTTCGAAGCAGCCTTTCCTTAATGGGATTCAGTTGGGATACAACATCAACAGAAATGTTTAGTTGGTGCCCCTGTTGTCATTTCTCTGGTTAATATTTGATCTGTTGTTATTTTGTAATTGGGATGGACTAAGATATCTTACCTTGGATGGTTGAACCAGGGCTGGGCCTCCTTCGATTATATGAGTCTGATCGTGGCTGTTTCCTCTGGTTATTTCTGGACCTCCAGTTGTCGATGGTGTTTTTCCTTGCTGGCTGTCGTTGCCTCCATCTCTTTTTTTCGTGGCCATCTTCGATGCCAGTTGCAGCTCTCTTTAACATGGTTAACTCCCAGGTTAACTTTTAGGTGTAGTAACATCAGGTTGACTATATCCCTGCATCTGGTGAGCTCATTCACGTATAGTTGCAGACGATTATACATAACTTCTTTTCTGTTTTTGAAGACCGCCGCAGACCCGTTGGTTAAGGAATTGTGATGTCAAGTAAGACATAATACATGGCTCACTGAAGGTGTCCATCATTTCTTGTCTAAACTCTGGGTAGCCAGTCCTGCAGTTTGGACCCATCTGGCTGCTTTCTCTTGGAGGCATCAATCGCTGATGTAAGCTGACCAGTGCTGAGGATGGATTATTCGGTCCATCGTATGTACTTCGGTTAGATTTAGGAAGAGGACTGGGTCTTCGTCTTCCCTTCTGGAAAATACTGAAGGCGTCCATCTGTGGAGGTACAATATGGAGCCTGGTTGCAGCTTCCAGGGTCTTCGCCTTTCTTTGATTGGATGGCTGTCAGCTGAAAAAGCATGGTCATTATCGTTATCATCCTAGCTGTCAGCTGCTATGTCAGCTGGAATATTCTTGGGTGCCATGTCGCTGGCTAGAATCTTCGTGGCCTGAGCCACGACAATTCTCCCAAGAAGAGTTGTCCATTGTACTAATTTAAAGAAAACTTTTTAGAAAAATACCTTAATGG